CCTTCTCGTCTTTGACTGTCTTCTTGCTCTTCCGAAGTTCCCGCTTCATTATTGCCCAGCGCAGCTCCGGACAGTTTGGCGGATTCATGTCCTTTGGAACAAAATGGACAGAATTGGCCTCATACCACTCCAGGACACTTTTAGAATATTGGCATGATGCCAAATCTGGCCAAAATAGCGGAGCTTCGTCGTGCTGCTGCAAGAACGGCAAAAAGCGCTTCTCGAGGCACTCAGATTTGTAGATCTCGCCATTTACTGTGCCCTTTGTCACGAAAGGCTCACTCCTCAGTCCGCAAGAGCAGATGGCCTGCCAAATGAGATATTTGGAGGCGAACTTCGACATTTTCTTCTTCTTAAATTTGTCGTCCACATCGAACTTGCTCTTGCCGGTGAAAAACTCCAACCCCGGAATTTGCTTAAAATCGGCTTTTATATACGTTTCGTCGTCCATCACACAGCAGCCATATTTTGTCAGCATCTTCTCGTAGAGCTTCCGTGCCCGAGTTTTAGCCGTCGATTGTTGCCGCTCATCGCGGTTTGGGAAGTTCTGTACCTTGTATGTATGTAGTCCAGCTCTCTTCTTTGCATTCTGGACGTAGCTCTGCGACATGCCGATCTTTTTAGCCAAATCACGGCTTGAGACGTTGGGATTTGCTTTAATCATCCGCTTCACCTTTCCCTCCGTCTTTTTGTTCTCCGGTCCCGGTTTTCTTCCAGCTCCTTTGCCGTGGTCCAACGTCAACCGCTCCTGGAACCGCTTCAAGGCTCTGGAGACGGTTGAATGGTGAATGTTCAACATTTTTCCCAACTGCCGGTGCGACAGGTCAGGAAATTCCAGGTGTTTGGAAAGAATTTGTTCTCTCAACTCGCGTTGGTTCACCTCCATTTTCGTTGAATCGAAAAACACGACTTCGAGTTTGACAGCATGTACACAATACACATCAATGAGAAAGTGTACAAAATTTGGTTGATTTTTACCCAATGGTAAAAAAGTTATGCCCTGTTGAATGTGTCGCAATAATTTCGTGTTCGCCCTTTAGACAACTCCAATCCGTTCTTCTCAGCGCTTTCCGGTTGATCCTCCGAATGTTCATACAGTTTTGGCTTCTCCTTTGGTGATTTGTTGGATTTTGAGCTCAAGGTGAGAGTGTCGAGTGGTAGTGTAACATCCGAGGCCATCACTACTAACTCAGACATGAAAGCGCTGAACGTCGCCAGGTTGACGAAAGTAGGTACTCCACTTTTGAAGTAAGACCACTGCATTTTGAGCTGAGGTGGAAGTTTCTCGATAAGCTCATGAAGCAATGTCGGATTCCACAGATGATCTACTAGGTTGGCGATGGACATGTGATCCATAACATTCTGTACTGCTAGACCGAACGTGATTTGGGACTACAGGTTGTCGGACTTCGGCGGAGGAACTGCGCGTAACTTTTGGAGAAGAGAGTGAATCAAGATTTCAGGACGGCCGTACAACCTCAGCAATATATCGATAACGAAGGGCACCGACTGTGGCATCAGCAACCTGCTTCTCACTGCTTCTATAGCATTTCCCTTCAAACAGCGTTGTAGTCGCGCCAGATTCTCCGAATCACTAAACCCACATGTCTCTGTAGAGTTACAGAACGAACTGTAGAAGAGCGGCCAATCCTGGGGGTCGCCCGTAAAGTTTGGAAGCTCTCTCGATATCTGGACTGCTGAGCTTGGATCTCCTACTGGCACCATCCTCTGCATTGTCCGCTTCTGCCAGGAGCAAAGCATACTTTTGCTTCAGAAAGTTTTCCTCTTCCTCAGCGATTCTCATCCTCGCAGCTGCCTGAGCTTGTCTGCTCTTCTAGCATTCTCAGATTGAGATCTACTAGGTTGGCGATGAGCGTTTGCTTGACATCGAACGACCAGTTGACACTTGGGACTGCAACACAGAATCCTCCTCACGGCACTGATTGCATGTCCAACTGCGATCAACTTCGACTCTGGAGTCTGTCACTCCCGCGCATCCAAAATGCATCCATATCGTACAGGTATCACAACCGACGAGATTGTCCGCCGTATCCGGTCGATCGCATTTGACGCAATGTTTGCCGTCCATCTTTCGTTCGATCGACTTGATCCAAAAAGAAATCCTTTGAAGTTTGTTTCGTGTTCTCCTGTAATCTAACCCGAAACTATCTTCCGAATTTGGAAATTATTTAATTTCGTACTAGTAACAAGTATTAAGTTTCTAATTTTAGGCAAAACGTCACCCAGTGCAAAGCTGAAGTTATTGCCAGCTAATCACTTTGCTTTAACTGGATCGTAAATTTATCTGATTAGCCTGATTAGAATATAATTGAGCGTTACTTTTAAGAATTTAACTTAAATTTTCCTTGTGTTTATTCGTTTTTCCACGTTTGTGTTTCTTCTTTGTTAAACGATTTTTATGCTGCCTGTGACGTTTGAGAGCCACGTCACCCGTTGTACTCTCCCTGACGTTTTCGCTGACAGGTCTTGGGTAATACGGAACTTACCCAGCTACCCAACGAAACTGCCCTGTGGTTCCGTTACAATTACATTAAACATTTAACAAGTCCACAAAAGTAAACCAAGAAAGGTCTCACCGCATTTTCGGAAACACTGACGCTTCTTATTTACATGTCGTCATCATAATTCTGCATCGTATTATTGCAAATGTCTACCTCCCATTCATCACTTCAAAAAATTGTGACATCTACGGGATTGAGCTCAAATCAATCTGGCATCACTGCTACCGAGCTTGCATTTCGACATCATCGGATAAGTGCACCCCACACGACAGAAGTTTCATCAATAATTCCATCAATATTGTCATGTAAATATTGTAAACAATATTTCCGGGGGTCATCAATACAGGGTCGCTCCTCACTAATAATGTTGTAGGTATTCGATGAAATATTACGAGTCAAATCACAACCTCGTTGACAAAAGTTGCCGAGGAACAAGCCACATCTGCTGCTGTAAAGCATGGCCCACTTAGTAATGGAACAACATCATTTGGGTCGATTTCGGATTTGAATTGACCGATTTGAAAACGGTTCTCACTCCAGTATATACATAACCAATACAGTAATGACCCGATTCTGTCAGCCCTGCTTTTGAAAATTACGGTTATGTTGATTTGGAATTATGGTTATATTTAATTATTGAAAGATAAAAGTCTGATGCGCGATAAAATCTGGTCATTACTGTAGTTTACAACCTTTGCCGATGTAGGACAAATCGCCGGTGCTGAAAGTTTAATCGAAGCATAATCAGCTGGTATACGTGGCAAATTCAAATTGTACATACATTCGGATTACCCTTCCAATACTAGAAATCATCCCACACAATGAATTGGCTTGACGCTTGGTGACGCTTCCGTTTGCTAGGACCGCACTGATGGGTTGCATCGGCTGCACTGCTAGTGATGGTGGTCGACCAACGGTTTCGGGTTTTGCATGAAATAATTTTCCTCCGGGGTTTCATCGGCACAGATTATCACACCAGCCATGTAAATATGCCCAACCATAGAACTTCACCACACTGCAGTAACGTCTTGCTCTTACTGTACAAGTAGCCATAATCCTTCCGGAATTTCGTCGATAGTAAGATCTGCAAAGAAAATTAATTTGTTTCCAGGGAATCGTGTATATAAAACCGCGTTACGATCAGTTTGCTCGTAGTTGTATCCTGCAGTTTACGAAGCCTTTGAACTGTCCATACGGTCTCGTATCTTCCAGTACCGATAGCCGCGATGAAGCAAGCTGTCCGTGTTGCGACTTTTGATAATCCTGAAGTCCAGTTCCCATTGTTGGATCTCGGATAAGCCCGATCAGAATCGCTTTTCGCAGGCAATCGGTGATAATTTTAATTTGCAACAGTTACACATTCGTGCAATTTTCAATAGTGACATTTTTAAAAATGATGAAGCCTTAATTTTAACCGAATCGTAGAAAAAAAATCCTATCGATTGGCGTATTAAGAATTAAAACCCATCATCTCTGGAACAAAACAAGACCACTTTCATGCCACGACCGACTTTGGTTTTTGAAATTGCACCCCCAATGTTGCCTTGAAGAATATGGTATGTTAGATTTAAACATATCTAGACGCACGGTGATTGGACTGAATCCGATCAGTGGTTGAGGGCAACCTTGATAGCTAGCTGCTTGCGGGAAGCCTTTCGTTGTGTACTGGAGAACACCACCACTCACCACGCGGTGATTGAATGAACGCCGTTTGGTGAGACCGGATGAAGTTTAACTTTGAAATCTGTGTTAGGGAAATCGCTTTTCGTAGGCAATTGGTGATACATTTTTTGAAGTTTTTGATTAAATGCGTAAAAATATTTCCGATCCATTGGTGATAAAATTATTGAAATTAGTTCCGGGGCAGCTGAGTTATTAACGTTCAAAATCTTTCATAATTTTGTTACATGTTCCATTTTCGGTTTTCACAAAGTGTACACCCATATAGAAATCACAGACGTAGTCCTACGTCAAAATTATAATGGTCTAATAACTGTAGAAATGCTCAAAGATCACGAATTCCAGTTGAGAAGTGAAAATCCAGCAAGAAGAAGAAGACGTCTTTCTTAAAACAAATATTCATTATTCGCTGAAAGTTCTCTAACCGTAGTCCTTTTTAACTACACAAAAAGTGAGCAATAAAAATGTCTTCTTTTTTTTCTGGACAAAACCATTTGCAGCAATCAGAGTCCTTCTTCGGTTGCCTCGGGGGGACTATAAAAAGATACCCAACAAGAAACGAAAAGATACACTTGGGATTGAAAACAAGCTCCAGCTTACTTTTTGCAGTCATCCAACTTTGATTTACTTCCTTTGGCGTTTTCTCTCATCCTTCAATACCCGGTAATTAGTTCATTTGTGACCGTTGATATTTTGCTCCCCTTTTGCTGACGAAGGTCGTAACTTTGATGAAACAACAGCAAAAAATGCTACTGATTTGAATATATTATAAATGAGACTTCCCTTTTCTCATTACAGCTAAAGGAGGACAAGAACCGTCACTTCAATCATATTAATTCACAGTACACTTTCACCCCGGAGGACATCAAGTACGACAACAAGCACTACAAGTACATCAAGTACACTTCGTACAAAAGCAAGGTGAGACCGATTAAACCATGGGAAGCTCATCACTGCGGTCATGGCTAATGTGTATCCTTTCTTCACTCAATAGGCCCGCCAACAGCAACCTCAGTACGATTCGTTTGGACTGTCTCCGGCATCAGGATCTTCATCGTCATCATCGTCCTCTCGAGCTAATGAGGACAAGCACAAAATTCGTGGCTACAACGAAGTCCTGGATAAACCAGTCAGCAAATCGCCGAAATCATCCAACAATGCTGCACGTGAGTAGCTACCTTTTTTTGTATTTCCACAAAACTCAAAATACAACACTATTTCCACTGTCAACTGAATTGTTTCCGAACCAGGAGCTACTTTCCATTCAAGCAGCAAATCGACGGAATACCTTTTTCAATTACCCAATCCTATTGCTTCTGATCTGCACAAGCACACATTTCCTCTGAGCGCACACATGCCATCCTTTTGATGCATCCATTTACGAATCGAAACCAATCGGTTGGATTCAATTGCGATGCTTTTTTTCAGTTTCATCGAGTAGGTATGCCGTACCATATGGAACGTTCGGTAAAACGATTATTCAATTGGTTTCTTTTTCCTTTTGAGAATGACTAGAAAAAAAAACTGAGTAGAGAAAAGTGGGTTCATTTTGCCAATGGGACAATGTGGACCCACATGAAAATCAACTTATTGAACATATTTTACAAATATATCTGTAGCAGGCTTAATGCCTGAATTTAGTTTTAGTTTAAAACATTACTTTTCTCTAGTACGACTATTCGAAAAATGTTAGACTAGCTCAAAATGTCAAAAATGGTATAAAATTTCTGAATCAGAAAATAAGTTCCATCAGTAGTTTATTATAACTTTTCGTTAATATTCCTTGAGCAGCTATATAAATGGACATTGGTTTCTTATATGACACGATGTTTTTCTAGATTTCAAAAAACTTTCAAGCTTTTCTGAAGTAATTATTACTTAAGTCCATTCGGAGTAATATAAGCACCAGTGATATTTCAAACATCTTCTACTTAAGTTCTTCAATTTTGCATTATTACTTTTATAAATATGACTGCATCATATGAAATCACGTTTTTAAGCAACTGCTTTGGTAAGTAGGTAGTACTTTTTAAATTTAATTTATTCTACAGAAAATAATTGTTTCTTCTAAACCTTTTTATGCCAAACCTGGTCATTGTTGACCCTTCATAAAGCCTCAAGAGAACAGAATATTCTTACCGGTTGTATACAAGGGCACTCATACCTCCCAATTAAGGAAAACGGTTTTATTTCGATTACAAAACGAACAATTCATGAGAATTAAAAGTGTACTTTTAATATTCAATTTGATGTATATAGGACTTGAAACTACCAATTAGGTTAAGACCCATTCAAATTTTCATCTGAATTTGGTATCGTTAGTGATGATTTTCTTAAGATGGTCAAACTGCCCACATTCCCCTACTTAATACTTCTACGATCAAGCTGTAACCGAGCAGAGTTGCCAAACTTAATTTCCAATAAAATTTCAGAACAAATGTATCGTTAAAAATAAAGAAAGATGATCATTATGGTGAAGTTGATCTCGATCCCAACCAATTTCCTCTTCTCGACGTAGGTACCGTAATCCGGAGGTAAATTGATCACCGGGGTGAAATTGATCATTACGGGTTGTGTTTTTAGTTGCCACGTAGACAATTTTCAGTTATAGATATCAAGAGAAATTAGATAGTATTTTATCAAGGGATCCAAATTTATTAAAAGTAGTTACCTAAAATTTACTTGAAAGTCATTTGAGGGGTGAAATTTCACGCCATATTTTCAAATGTGAGATTTCAGAAATGTTTTAAAAATAAACAAAACACTCAACATGATGACAAGTAAACGTGCGTGTGACAGATTGATTCATAACGTGCCGAGGGGTAGGTGTGCTTAATGTATAACGCTTATTGCGTAGGGTTACCAATCACCATGAATAGGAAAATAAAGAAAAGTGAAGTGAAAACTCCAAGAACCGAGTGGACGAAGGAACCGGAGGTATTTTTTTTTTAAAGTTAAAAGGTGAGTGAGGGTTCTAACTATTGGTTTTTTTCCTTGTGACGATCATCAAATGATCCATTTCGGGGAATAGGGGGGAGGGGGAGTCATCTCGCAGGTGGCATCGTGCAGTGAACATTTTGTTAGGCTGGAATGCTAGCCGCCATTGTGCTTTTACCGCCGTTATGTTACTGTCCCCCTCACCCTCTCAACCTCTTGTGCAACTTTTTATCGCTCTCTTGCCTCTGCGATTATTTGTGTTTTTTTCACCCATCGGTTCTCTATAAGCTGACCAAATTGGGTTCTTTAAGGGTATTGAGGTAAATGCATATTCGTAATCTGCATTTAAATGAAACCCAAACCCAAAATTTCATCAATTTTGATACACTGGAACTATTTTAAATAAGTACGATTACATTTGCAAAAATCACCTTTTTAACGCCCCTCGGTGTCACTTTGTATGGGAGCGAGCTGTCAGTTTGTCAGTTTGGTGTCAAACAGTGAAGTTATTATTTTGCTTTAAATCTTGATTTAAAAATCGAGATGAAAGTGTGTGGGTTCGAAAAAAATATCGCTGTGTTCAGAAAACGAAGTTCTTTCAGATGATATATAAAAACCAATTAATTTTTCAAAATTAAAGAACCCAATTGAGGTAACTCATGTTGTTTCAAGGCATGGTACAGTTTCCGGAAGCATCAAGGAATGTCATGGGGCCTGGTGACATGATTTTTTCTCGGACATCCAAGGCAACTGTGTTTGTTTCCTGAAAGATGTTTGCTGGTGTAGTCCGGCGAATGTCTCAGAGCCACTGATTAAAATTCTCACGGTTGTGGGAATCATTTGAATTATTCAGGGCTACTGTGCTTGTTTCGCTCGAGACAGTTTTCGGAAGCATCCAGGAATGTCATGGACACGAAAGGGATACTTTAATATCAATGCCTTTTCGAAGCTAGATCTCACCAGCGCTTAGTACCATCTCGAACTTTGCAAAGAGTCTCGGGATCTAACAACTTTCCTAACGGAAAATGGAATGTACCGGTTTACGAGGCTGATGTTTGGAGTCAATTGCGCTCCAGAAATTTTTCCAAGGGAAATGACTCGCATATTGAATGATTTTGATAACGTTATCATTTATATCGATGACATTATGATATTCGCTGCAACGCTGGAAAAGCTACGAACGACTGTTGCTCGCGTTATGCAGGTTTTGAGGGCCAACAATCTGACCTTGAATGAAGAAAAGTGCGAACTAGAAAAAAAACTCGTATTAAGTTCCTAGGTCATGAACTAGATGAGAACGGTTTCCATATCGATGAAACAAACTGTTTCCGAATTACGAAGCTTTCTTGGTCTCGCCTCATTTGTTAGTCCCTACATAAAAGATTTTGCAAAGCTTACAAATCCTCTCTGGAGCGTGGTTACAGCAAAAACATAGAATTGGGGTTAACAACAAAAGACTGCGTTCGATTTGATCAAGGAAAGGATAGCCAATAGTATCGTTTCATTGGGATACTTTTCAGATTCCGATAAAACTTACCTCTATACCGACGCGTCTCCTAATGCACTTGGCGCAAGAATCTTGTGCAAGAATCAGTTGACCAAAAACACCGTATAATAAGTTTTGCGTCTAAGGCATTGACTCCAACGGAGAGGAAGTATGCCCAAAATCAGAGGGAGGCTCTCAGTACTGTATGGGCCGTTGAACACTTCTCGTATTTTCTTCTTGGAAGACACTTCACTTTACGAACGGATGCGAAGGGTGTTACGTTCATCTTGGACAGATCGCGAGAGAGTTCTAGGAGGGCCCTTACAAGAGCAGATGGATGGGCACTAAGGTTAAGTCCTTACAGTTACACCGTAGAGTACGTAAGAGGCAGGGAAAATATAGCTGATCCATCGTCACGCTTGTACGGGGGTTTCGACGATCCTTTTGATGAGAATTCCAGTCCCTGGGAAATCGCTAGACTTGAAGCAAACACGATTAATTTTCTGACCGAGAGGGAGGTGCGTGAAGCGACTACACGAGATGAAACCCTACAACAAGTTCTTCAAGCATTGGAGACGGGAAACTGGTCCAAACAACTCCGTAGATTTCATTTAGTGGCAAGGGATTTATACGAGAAAAATGGGATTCTGGTTAAAAATGGACGTGCCGTAATTCCCAGCGACTTCCGAGAAAAGGCCATGGAGGTCGCTCATGAAGGACACCCACTAACTGCCAAATTTAAAAGTATATTGAGAGAACGTGTTTGGTGGCCAGAACTGCAAAAAGATGCGGAGAATTGGGTCAACAGTTGTAAAATATACACCGTGAATGGTAGACCTGAGAAACCTACACCGATTAAGCGAATTTTTGCTCCAGAAACTGTATGGGATTCAATTGCGCTTGACTTTAATGGACCATACGCGAGATATGGTGGCATTTACATTCTGGTAGTAGTCGACTACAGATCGCGATATTTAATTGCAAAATCAGTAAAATCAACAAGTTTTAATCACACGAAAAAGGTGCTAGAAGAAATTTTCGACGGAGAGGGTTTCCCAAAAAGCATTAAGAGTGATAATGGTCCTCCTTTTAAAGGAGAAGAGTACAAACGGTATTGTTCCGAGAGAGGAATTACTACTATATTCTCAACGCCCCTCTACCCGGAACAAAACGGGCTTGTTGAAAATTACAAGAAATTGATTAATAAAGCGATGGACATTGCATCAACGGAGGGAACCAGATACGAAGATGAGCTCCAGGCAGCAGTGCGTGCTCACAACGTTGCCGCGAACTCAGTTACAGGAATCGCACCAGAGGAAGTTATGTTGGGACGGAAAGTTATGAGGGGCCTACCATTGTTAGATAGAGCATAGGTCAAGCTGGATGATGAACTCCTAAACAAGAGGGATCGTGAGGCAAAGCTGCAAGGGAAATAACGAGCGGATACCCGCCGCCATGCTCGGGAATGTCAGGAACGTGCCGAGGGGTAGGTGTGCTTGATGTATAACGCTTATTGCGTAGGGTTACCAATCACCATCTCACAGTGCGGAACTATTGACACCTCATAGCTATTAATACCGGGTATGCTGGAGCCATGGCTATATGACCGGGATAGAAAATTGATTGAAAACGTATTATTATTTTTTGTGATTAGGGTGAGTGGGCCAGCAGTGGGGGAATTAAGACAAATTATTTATTAAAAATTAAATGAACGATGTGCATACAATTTTTATGCGTCAATCT